GCTCCCTTGGGTCCAAAGAGCCCCGAGGCCCCAGCCCATTCGGAAAAGCCCCGGCGAAGGCAGCACCCTGCAGACCACTCAGAGGCCAGGCCTTTCCGTGGTACCATCTCCCGGGTCCCACAGTGCAACCTGTGCCCCATGAGAATAGAAGTCTCTGACACGGCGGTCAGTCCTCTCGGTCCCAGCCGTGATGCTGGTGGCCTGAGCCGGCAGAGAGCAAAGTGGTTCCCACTCAGTTCTGGTTCCCCGCTCGAGGTGCTGACCCAATTCGTTGTCAAAAGAGAATCGCTCGGAACATACCAACCCGTGTGGTTGTGTCATCCTCTCTTACTCATTTTTACTAATTCTAATAATCAGCGCTAGCTTGCTTCATAATGTTCATAGCTTTGCTTGATCTGTTGATGCATTTCCTCGTGAAGACATTGCAGCATTTTAGCCAGGCAGTATTTACTTGTTCGTTAGGAAAATCAAGATGTGGCAGAAGACCAGAGGCTCAGTAGCAGCCTGTTGTAGCGTGATGTCAGTCCCATTGGTCATCTTTAGAGAGTTAATGTTGCAAAAGAAAAAAGTTTTTAAAAAAATTCTTAATGATTAGACAAACATGATCTGCTGAAGACACATGCGCTTTTGTAGAATTTAACATCTGTTGTTTTTTCTGAAATATATATATATATATATATATATATTTTTTTATTTGAAACAAATTAAAATATGCTGCATTTGAAAAAAAATACTTCAGTCATATCTAGTGAGAATCTTGGTCGTATCACTTATATCACTATTTCCTAGATTTTTCAAGAAACACGGTTAAAATCTTGTAAAGATTTTGCACTATGTCCTTATTTACATTTTTGTTACTAATAATTTGTAAAACATTATTATTCTTAACATAATACATTGGGAAGAGAAATGTACTCTTCTACATTAAGAGGCATATGACTTGAAAGCAACTTTATTTTATTAATGATAATAGTTACATAGGTTGGTAAAAGTTAAAATTTTGATTAAACTAGAACCCATTTGTTGCTGATTGTCATTTATATATCTGTGCAGTAAGCTTTTCCTGTATACACAACCACTTACAGGTTGTCCTACGCATATCTTCATTATATAGAGAGCAAGCAAGCATTTCTTCATATGTATGTTCATGTACATATGTGTATGTGTATAATCATACTCAAATACACTCTCTACATGGTTTAAAATTAAGAAAGGAATGGGTCAGGGTTGTATTCTTTCTCTATGATTATTCATTCTGTATGCGGAGGAAATGATTCCAGAAGCTGGACTCTGTGAAGAAGAATGTGGCATCAAGATCAGAGGAAGACTTCATCAGTAACCAGCTGACACAACCTTGTTTGCCGAAAGTGAGGAGGACCTGACCCACTTGATGCAGAAGATCAAAGAATACAGCCTTTAATATAGATTACATATCATTGTTAAGAACAAAAATTCTTAACACTGTATCAGTAGACAACATCATAATAGATGGATAAAAGTTTGAAACTTTCAGCAACTTCATCTTGCTTGGATCCACAATCAACACCCTTGGTACCAGCATTCAGGAAATTAGGAGATGTATTGCACGAGTAGAGTCTGAAGTCAGAGACCTCTGCAAATTATTGAAAAGCAGTGATGTCAGCTTGAGGACTAAGATGTGCTTGATTTAGGCCATGATCTTTTCAGTCACTTGCTGTGCATCTGCAAGCTGGACAGTGAATAAGGATGGCAAAAAAAGTACTTCTGTCTTTGAGCTGTGGTGTTGGAGAAGAGTACTGAACATCCTGTGGACTGCTAAAAGAACACACAGATAAATCTTGGGAAAAGTGCCAGAGTGCTTCTTGGAGGCAAAGGTGATAAAGCTTCATCTCACATACTTAGGACATTTGCTTAGGAGAGGCTATTTCTTGGAGAGTGACATTATGCTTGGGAAGATGGAGGGTCAACGAAAAAAAGCAAAACCTTCAACCAGATGGATTGACACAGTACCTACATCAGTGAGCTAGAGCATGTCAGAAATTGGGAGGATGGCTTAGGATAGGAGAGAATTCAGATCTGTTGTTCATGGAGTCGCTATGAATTGTGTTCGACTCGACAGAACCTAACAACAACATCCATATACTAGTTGCTTTTTAAAGTCTGATGAGATAAATACAAGTTAGTTCATATCCTTTGTGTTTGCAGGGAAGTCAAGCCAAGAAATTGTTATTTGTGTCTAAATATAAGTAAGATTTTGGCCTCTTTCCTCCAATTATCACTCTAAAAGAGTTTGCCTATTTTAACATTTGGATCATAAAGATTACTGGTAAAAGATGTATTGGTCTATGACCATCTTGTTTTTGTTGTTATGTGCTGTTGATTCAAGTATGCTGAATCTTGACCTATCCTGAGCCAGCCTGTCTCTGACACACCTGACCCCATTGCGACAGTCACTCTGTCATCCATGGTCTTTCTTTCCTGTGCTTTTCCTCCATGTTAGATGGATCTTAGCTGAAAGCAGGGAGTACCAGAGGAATGTCTGTGTTTCATTGATTATGCAAAGGCGATTGACTGTGTGGATCACAACAAACTATGGCTGACTCTGAGAAGAATGGAAATCCCAGAACACTTGATTATGGTAATGTGAAACCTATACTTGGAGCAGGAGGCAGTCGTCAGAACAGAGCAAGGAAACAATTCAACATTGGGAAGGGTGTATGCCAGGGATGTGTCCTATCTCCATACCTTTTCAACCTATATGCACCAGCAGCCAGGAAATTAAAAGACACATTGCATTGCAGTGGGAATGTCTGCTGTGTTAGGGACCTCTCCAAAGTACTGAAGAGCAATGGTGTCACTCTGGGGACTAAGGTGTGCCTGATACAGGCCATGGTCTTTGTAATCACTTGTTATGCGAGTATGCTAAGAAAATGAACAGGTTCGTCCTGGAGAGGGTTAAACAAGACTGTTCCTTGGAGGCAAAGATTCTGAAGCTTCTTCTGACATACTTTGGGAATATTGCAAGGAAGACCCTCTGTGAGGTGGATTGATTCCGTGACTAGGGTAACCAAGGTGGGTGTGTTGGAGACAGTGAGATTGGCACAGGATAGAGCAGCAGGGTTTAGGACTGTTGTACGTAGGGTCGCTATGAGTCCCAGAAGACTCGACAGCATGCAACAACAACAACAACATGGAAAACAAGAACAACAACAACACACTTTATTAGTGAGTATTTTATTTACAAAACCTTAATTACCTTTTGGGTGTTCTGGTATTCTAGATGGTAGAGAGTTGTGCTGCCAAGCCAAAGGCAATCAGTTCAGTAGTTGATTAGCTGCTCTGTGAAAGATGAATAATTTGTGTGATTAATACCCTTTGAAAACCTGCTGAAGGTTCAGCTGTGAGTCAGTTCTGACTCTGGCAATGACTGACTTATTAACTTTAAAGGGACTCTGTAATGTAATCTATAGGGAGTTGTGTTGCTAATCCAAAACAAAGGCCTCCTCACAGGGCATTGGAATTTACCAGCTGTCCTTGCAGGACAGAGAAAGGGAGTCTCCTCCAGTGGAACTTACAGCCTTGAAATATCAATACCAATACAACTCTGAGCTGTTTCTGACTTGATAAAAATGAGAGAGATTATGTAAAAATAAAAATTCTTAATACAGCCCAATAATTTTATTTAATTCTATAATGTTATACGATACTATATTGTACTTTTGGACTCCCCATCCATCTGCCAGATGAGAAATATGTATAAATTTAATGCAAGAGAATCTTCAAGTTTTATGCCTTCAAATGATAGTAATTCCTGAAACTTTAGTGAAGCATTCTCAGTTGGTTAATAAGTGGCTAGTTTTTACTGTTTATGCTTTGATACATACATATATTTTAAAGTGCTATGAGTGGAACAGTAATGGAATCTTAAGCTCTAAGGAGATTGATGCCAGAGCCCTCCTAGGGTTGGTCAGCTGTGAGTTGATGACAATAAATTGTTTGGTTTTTTTGAGTTCTTTATGCTTTCTCTTTGGTTTGACAATCATCCCAGAATTCATTCTGGTTAGGATAGGTCCTCTCCACTTATTGAGGATTTATGCATGTACTTTGGAGAAGTAAATTTTAGTGAATTAATTTTGAAACTTTACTAAAGGCTATTGTATAGAAAACACATTAAAGGATGGATGACCAGAACTTTCTTCTTTCCATTGTTCTATAAGGTCTTCATTTCTTTTAACTACAGTATCCTAGGTTTTATTAAGACCAACAGTCAGTATCCCTGTATTTTTTTCCTCTGAGGGTAAAAATTGAGAATTTTACATGTTGGAGTTGAAGGAAGATTTGGAGTAAGTCATTGGAATAGGATTTAGTATGTTTGAAGTATATTATGAGGAAGAAGAATATTGAAAAGTAGTTTATAGTAATTTGAAACTACTGCTGTAGTTTTAGGCAAAAAGTAGCAGTTGATTATAAATTGTAGCTATTATTGTGACTTAGAGATTCTGACATAATTCAGTAAAAAGTCTTCTTGCTTCTGAGAAATATGAGTATTATTTGTATTTCAAAGCAGTTTTATTTATACCAGTAGGTAGTACTGTAATAATTTATGATGTCTGAATAAAGTGATCAAAGTGCATTTACAACTTACTTGGCAAGTGGTGACTTAATCTAGTCGTGATGCTAACTCAGCTAGCTCTGGCTGTATCTAGGGATTTTGAAACCACCAGTTGCTGTTTTGGAGAAAGATGGATGATCACCTTCCATTAGAATTTGCAGCCTTGGTAACTGCATTGTTATGAGTTGAAACTGACTGAAGGACAGTGCTGGAAAAAACCACTATATAGCTGCTTATTTAATAAATATGTGGGACAATGGTTCCTTAAAGATTGCTATCTTTACGGTATCTGAAGTAGAAGTAAGCATATTGATTTCTTGGACAATTGAATGAAGGATGTGTGCATTGTTTCAGGACATGCAATTCAGGGTTTTATCTTTTCTTAAGTCTTCGTATTTTTCATTTCTAGGCTGTTCGCTGCTATGAATCTCAAATCTTAAAAGCTGAAGGAAAAGTGGAGTCTGATTTCTTTTGTCAATTAGGTCACTTCAACCTTTTATTGGAAGATTATCCAAAAGGTAATTTTTTCTCTTCTATAAATTTGATTTAAACATATATTTATAATTACTGTAATTATCATATTTTTATTAGAAATGTTATTGTTTTTACTTCTTGGAAATTGTAAGCTCTGTAACATAGTAAATAATGAGGAAAAAATAGGGAAATAGGTGGTGTTTTAAAAAGAAAATTCTACAAAATTTGTGTCTGACCTCTTAAGTTTTATTTGTAGTTCATGAATTGGAGGAGGAGGCCTTCAGCCCTCTAGTCTTACAAGATAGACTCCAAAGAGGTAGAAAAAAAGACTTTTTATGGTTGTAGGTATACAGGAACAAGGAGCTTTACTGTGCAAATTGTAGAATTTTTGTGGATGTTTTCTTTCTTTTTGGAAACTATGTAAATTTAGCAGTCAAGTCTTGTTTAGCTTGGATTTTTCTGTTTTTGAACAAGTTGTTTAAAAGAGTAAGATTCAGCTCCTGGGGAGGTTAGGCATTTGTAGGAAATAAAACTAGTTAGATTTAAGTTTCTAGACATGAGGTAGGCTCAATACCATCTTGGGCCTAGTAATGTTAAGTTAACCATATGTAAATCATCAATAAATTGATCATTCAGTAAAACTGAAAACTTTGTACATGGCGGTGTTATTTGTCCTGTCTTATGAAAATTCTTGCACTTTAATTAAACTAGCTCACATTTTATTATTTAATTACTGTGTTGCCATTTTGTCTATATTGGTTGAAATATAGTAATTGTTGAAATATAGTTATATAGTAATTGTTGAAAAAGTAATGCAAGCTCAGCCTCTCTCTTTTTAATTCTTTAATCTTGGGCATAAAATGTACTTGTTTTTGCTTGGAAAACCCTGAGTGAAAATTGAATCTGTAGCTATTTTATTTATAGTAAATGTAAGTAACATAGAAAGATGATCACATATGAATTTGAGACTATATAAAGCAGTATTTTCCATTAATTTGAAAATATTTCCTTTAAGAAATCAATCTTGTAAATAATTGAAGGTAGTCCCCCAGGATGTGTCATTTAATAATATCAAGCTTCCAACTATTACTTGCTTAGAAAGTTGAAAGCACCCAAAAATAGTATCCCTTGAATAGCAAGGGAAAAATCCATAGTAAAAAGATTATATTCATATAAAGAAGAAAGTTTAACTTTTTGATAATAACATCTTGATGTTAGATGGATAGATGTATTGTACTTGTCAATAAGTGTATTTTTTTTTCATAGTTCCTGAATAAGTGTATTTTTAATGGGTAGTTTATACTATTTTATCTTAGGTCAAGTAAACACTTTGAGAAAATAAAAGTTTAGTTTGAGAAGGGCATACTCTGGGTGGGGTTTGCAGTTTTACAGCTCTTTCAAGTACCACTGTGTTACTTTTAACAGATTAGAAAACAAGCTCAGGAACATTATAAAATCTATAAAAGGAGGCTAGAAGTTGGGGAATTTTGTGATTGTTCAGTGATACAATTTATTAAATGCAAAATGTCCTTCAGTTTGCAAATACCTATTTGGTTGTTTTTTGTGGGTTTTTTTTTTTTTAAGAGAACAGGATATCTTTTCTCAAACTTTGACATAAAAAGTAAAAATAAATAACACACGTGGCACTAATTAAAACTAACATCACAATTCACTGGGCATCAGTCCTCTGCAAAGCAATGTATCATTTCAAAAACATTTTTCCTTGGTCTTTTACTTTCTGTATCCACTTTTCTTGATTTTTGATCATTGCTTGACTTTTCAGTTGTAAATCTTCTTGAGCTTTCCAGTTTGTTCTGGAGGTTTCTACATGGTTCCTCCGTTGTTGCTTTCAGCTGAGGTTGAAGCTTTAATATTATCAGGTGAATGAACAGGTTTGGTGAATAGAATGAACAAGCAGGTGAATTTTTCACTAGCTATAGCGAAGCAACTGGATGAGTCCTCCAGGTCTCCAGCTAGCTGGCTCTTTACTAAAAGTTTCAGTTGATTTGCTGCTTTTAGTTGGAGTCCCGTGATGAGTTGTTGCTTCTATGGCTTAATTCTGCTCTCAGACTAGATTGAATAATACAATCTCTTACTTTCTCATCTAGGCCTAAACCTGGTGCTTTCTCATCCTCAAGTTTGTTCAGAGGCACAGCAGGTTTATCATTGATCACACTTCTCAATTCTTGGAGAAGTTGTTTCAGGTTTCTTGTCATATTTCCTTCATTGTACTAGGTTTCACAGAGTGTTAAGACCGGAAGCTTCCCCTAGACTGGGAAGATGGTACATTAGAATGAGAACAGGCAACAGCTAATTGTTGTAAAATGTGTGGTTTCACAGAAGAATTTGAAGTATACCCAGGGCTTAGAAAGTTCCTTTACATCCAAAGTGTGTTGAAGTTTTAGCCACACAAATTGTTGTTTTTGGTGCTGTATTGTATCTTGATATTCTGCAAACTGCAAAGATGCCTTATCAAGAGCAGCTTCCATATTAGCAACCTTTTCTTTTAGACAACATTCCTGAGATCTCAGGATGTCCAGTTCCCATGTTATTTTGTTCTTTTTCCTATTGAAATAAGATTCAATCCTTGGCTTAGTTTATTCTCTTCTTTTAGGAAATTCTTCTTATTTACATTTGCCATTGCTACTTATGAAAACTATCTTGCTCTATAATATCCCTAGTACCACGGCCTCTTCTAAACCCAGCCTGCACTTCAGGCAGTTCTCTGTTGATGTGCTTGCTGTTCAGTCATTTTTGGATAATTTTCAGCAGAATCTTCCTTGGATGTGATATTAATGATAATGTTCTATAATTTCCACACTCTGTCAGGTCACCTTTCTTTGGAATGGGAATAGAGATCTTTTCCAGTCAGTTGTCCAGGTGGTTGTCCTAGAAATTTCTTGGCACAACATGGTGAGCACATCCAGGATAGTTTGTTTGTTGAAATATGTCAATTGATATGATGTCAATTCTTAGGGCCTTGTTTTTTGCCAGTTCTTTCAGAGCAGCTTGAACGTCTTCATCATCACAGGCTCTTGCTCATATGTTGTTTCATGAAATTCTTCTGTGTCTGTCAATTCCTTTTGGTGCAATGACTTTGTATATTCTTTCCATCTTCTTTTAATACTTACTGGATCATTATTATTCTGCTCAAAGCATCCTTAAGTTTTATAACTTGAGGTTTGAATATGTTCTTCAATTCCTTGAGCTTAAGAAATGCAGAGCAAATTTGGCCTCTTTGATTTTCTGACTGCACATTTCATTAGAACAATTATTTGTAGTAGATTCTGGTGCTGGAGAAGAGTATTGAGGGTACCATGGACTGTTGAATAAGACTCAGAGTAAGCTTTACACAAAAGACCTGAACTCAGTTCTATAACTAACATAATTTCTGTACATTTATAGAGTTTAGAGAGTTTGTAGAGTTTCCAGAGGCATCTAGTTTAGGAAGTGGATGCCAATCCTGCTTCCCAACATGAATCAATCTGGAAGCTCATAAAAACATTGTACATAATGGGTAACAATTATGGTATTTGACATGACTATGGAACAGTGTTCAGCATCACAGCAACTCCCAAGTTGTTCAGTACAGCAAATAGACAAACGATTGCTGTGTCATTTAAAGAGTATTCATTCTAAAATGAATAAATTTGGCCAAGGTCTCTCTTCAGGTCCTTCACCGCATGGAACCTGTCAGAGCCTGCATTCACCAGTTTCACCTATTTTAGCTCTAGGTCATTCTCTCTGGCTTCAGGCTTCCATATCTTTGCATCTTTTTATCTTTTTTTTTTTTTTCCCTATAATTATATTTTATTAATTTTCATAAACATTTACAGAGATTTTGGGCTTCCACTCATTCATTGTTGCACTATTCTCTCTACCCTCCTCCCAGTTTGTTCTTGTCCGAATGCCACAGTGCTTGTCAAAGCCAGTTCTGATTAATCTTCTTTGTCAGTGTATCCTTTGCCATTCCCTATCACTCCTCCCTGAGAGAGACTTCACCCTGAGTCATAAGGAAAAGAGGACGGCGTATTCTCTTAGCTACTTCCTGCTGAAAAGGGACGCTGTGGGTTTCAGGGTGAAGATCTTCTCTCACTACTCTAAAGGGCCCCTTTGGCAGTAGGAAACACATAGACTATTATGGAGATTGATTTTGGAATTCAGATGCACTCTTATTGATTGTGCTTGGCTGTACATGTACATATCCTTCAAGATGTATCATGGGGGTGTTGCAACCTAGAAGACACAAATTTGACTAACAAGTTATAAGTACATGAGTCCAAAAATTATGGAAAAGTAAAAGAAAAGATTCTTTCATTGTTTTACAAACCCTCCCCCAGGTCCCCTCCACCATGCAGCCCTCGTTCTAGTCTCCTGTGATGACAGAAACACCCAGTTACATCTCTCTTTTAAACGGTTCTCTCCCTCCTCTGTTTCAGTGCAGTATACATTATTGAACCCATCTTACTCAGTCTCTCCCCAACCCCAAGGACAGTCCCATTCTACAACAGTGGCATCATGTAATATTTGTCCTTTTGTGACTGGGACATTTCACTCAGCATAATGTTCTCCAGAGTCAACCATTTTGAATAATATTGCATGAGTTCCTTGTTTTTTAATGCAGCATAGTATTCCATTGTGCGAATATACCACAGCTTCTCTAGCCATTCGTTTGTTGATGGGCACTTAGGTTGTGCATCTTTTTATCTTTTAAAATCTTAAATTCGTACATATCCACTCTCCTGTCATTGATCTCTTTCTCAAGTTAAGCTTTCTCCACTTGCAAGGCACCAGCACTTTGTCCATGATAACCAACCAATTGTGTCATATTTTCAATCTGTTATTGCAAAATCTTGATCATAACTCCTGGGCCTCACATTCCATCTGCACATTTCTGAGGTGATCCCCTTCATTTTTCAAGTGCTATAGCTCCTAAAATTTTAAGTCCATTCGGAAGCAGAGCTTCGTGATCTCTGCATTGGTAACCTCGATGGCTCTCTCTTTTTCCTGTAGGGAAGCTATCAGATCTGACACTCTTTAGTGG